GTCAAAGTTTCACCAGTTCGTGCACCAGTACAAGGAGGCAGAGACCACCAGTACAAGGAGGCAGAGACCACCAGTGCCAGTGGAGGACTACTGTCATCTTCAGTGAGCTACAGTATCTGCCATCTACTGATACAAGGCAAGTGTGTCGCCTCAAAGCTGCCTGTGAATGAATGTGTTCAGATATCTTATTCAGTGCTTAATGTTCTTTAATATATAAAATATAAATATAAGAATGAAACCTTGAGTTTTATATATTCTGTTTGTATATGTGGTTTAGATTTAATTAATATTCATCTGTAGATAATACTGGCATGTATTTCTGAAACTARTGGAGGTATAATGGTAAGGTGGAGTTCCCTGGGGTTATTATACACCTTTGCTCTATTGTGGGGGTTACACACTCATTTGAATATTGAGGGTTTTCTTTTCATTGTGTTTAACATGACATTGGCTGGGATTATTTATTTTGTTTATCCTTAACTCTGTCTTAAATGTSTGATATTTATTGGACAGCTTTTAAACAAAATAATGAATGGGCCCACAACTTTTTGCATCATACATGATTATTGATAATAGGTAAATTGTGTGTAAATAGAACTGAAAGCAYCAATATACACACCATAATTTAAAAGAGTGAAACTATGATGCAAAAGATGTCAGAGTCCCCAATATTTGCACTAAACTAATTATGAGTACTGGATGAAATGTCAGGATACACCCTGCAAATAACAGTTTATATGTGTGTGTTTAAAAAATAAAATAAAACATACGTTTCTGTCATGTTTCTGTCTTTGGGATAGGTATCCAACCAACATGGAGTAAACTCAAGTTGCAAACTCTGATCATGAAATACCGTTTCCTGAGAGACATGGAGAGGGATGGCCATGTAAGTCTAATTGTTGTCCTGATTATATGTGTATATGCATCTGTGAAGGTTCTTAGTTGTCCAGGTGATATTCATCGAAGTGAAAAGCTTGAATTATCAACTGGACTGGGTTGATTATGGAGGACTAAAACTGACATAATTAATAATAAAAGAATATATGGACCAATAAATACAAGTAATGCACCAATTATTTAACAAAAGGAGAACTTTACCTCATGTTTTACAATGTAATTCATCTTCATATTTATTTTTCCAGCTTAATACCAATAAATTTTATATTTTAGCACATAATTAAAAATAAAATAATAAAATTTTTCATTTTACTTGTAGATGCATTTGTGTTTCTTAAAGGTTTTTCTTAAAATTATTTAATTGTCCCCCCCCCACCCCCACAGT